AATAAGTACGTCTGTGGGTCTGGGGGTCTGGGGTATGTATTAGTAGAAGTTTATTTTAGGCGCTTTTTATGCACCTATGCTCGATGAACAACTCGGCAATCGTTAGACATTATTCAAATGTATTCATGAAAACAAGACAATTCTGTCGAAGAGGAATGTACTCGGTATGTTATACAATATCTTCAACATTTCTTAGAAGTTCCATTTGTTATTTATATTTTATAATCGTATGATCTGGGAAGCTGATCTTGCGATAATCCAACAACACAATCTGGATGCTGATTGAAGAATTCATATCTATACCTCAGGAATGAACCGATTCGGTGACATGGTGAATTATTTCGTTCTTCCATTGTAGAAGCATCAGAATACAATATATGCATTTTTTTAGGCTTATGAAGAATTCAAACAACAAATGAATGAATTCAAAATGTCAGCTAACGTTGAAACAATTAATTTGGATCGGCACACATTCTTAGTTTCTTCAAACGTTGCTATTCCAGGTGCTGTTGGTAATTATATATTATATTAGTTCCTTGTTTGAACACAATCTTAAAATATTTTATGTAGATTGGCATTCAAAAGGTTACGTAATACCAATCAAATATCAAGGACAATGTGGATCACGCCAGGCATTCTTCGCTACCGGTTTATACGAAGGTCAATATTTCACTAAAACACAAAATTCGCCTCACCCTTCGAGCAAAACTTAGCTGATTGCTCAGACAAATTTGGTAACATGGTTGTGATGATGGTTAAATGGATTCAGTTATTCAATGCATCAAAGCTGACGAAGGTATTAATACCGAACGCACCTATACATATGAAGCTCATGATGATAAATTGTGATTTAAAGAAGAAAAATGTCGATGCCACTGATACTGTACGCAGCATCCTCATATAAAAATTTAAAAACTTATACTATGATTATCTCATTGTAAGATTTCGTTGATATGAGAGCTCAAAATGAAACTGGTCTTCGAAACGCCATTGCTATTAATGCATTACAAGATTCATTTCGGTTCTGCAAATTAGATATATATAAAGAACCAGACTGTTCATCAACCGAACTCGATCATGGTGTATTAGCTGTTGATTATGATAAATCAAGATCATGAGAATACTACATTGTCAAAAGCTCATGTTGAACATCATGGAGTAATAAAGGATACATTTGGATG